TATATAAATAAATAGATATATTTTGTTGTTGGTAGAATCTTCTCCGTTTCTCGGTCACCACAGAATATATAGTAGCATAGCGTTTAGGTTCGTTTGCTGCACAACCGGCAAATGCTGAGTGTAGACCTTTTTGGATCTCAATATTTGGTATTCTATTATATATTATACTGATTCACACTTATGTGCGTGTTGCCAGCGATGACCTACGGCTCTGAGACGTGGTCACTTACTATGGGCCTTATAAAAAAGCTCAAAGCCTCCCAACGAGCCATGGAGCGAGCAATGCTCGGCATTTCTCTACTTGATCGAATCAGAAATGAGGAGATCCGTAGAAGAACGAAAGTCACCGATATACCTTGAAGGATTAGCAATTTGAAGTGGCAGTGGACAGAACGGAGACCACGAACCGGAAGGCGTTCAGTGAGACGGCCTCCTGCTAGATGGACGGACAACCAGAGGGTCGAGTCAGAACCTTACGATAACTCAGTTGTCGTACGATTTCTTTTCATTTTTATTCACAACACCCGAATCGAACGTAAACTGTCGTATTCGAAACCAAACCGAAATCACGTTACATCTGTAGTATTATTCGAACTTCGTGACCGGCAAAGGCTACAAACGTTATTCAGAGCACAGATACCGAATGAACGTTACCGAACGTCCTATTATATGTTATATTACAAAGCAAGAATGTAATATGGAAATCTCTTAGTATTTAATATAAAGTCTGGGTTTGTTCAATTTTATATATTTATTTTTATGTAAGACTAATACAATCCTATATTTTAGGGCCATTAACGTCTTAACAATGTATACAACAAAATTTTCACTTTTTAACCGAATTCAAAAAAGGAGGAGGTTCTCAATTCGACTGTATGTTCTTTTTTCTTTTTTTTATTGTATGTATGTTACGCGATAACTCCGGTATTTGTTAACCGATTTCATGATTCTTTTTTTGTGGGAAAGGGGGTACTTCCATAGTGGTCCCATTTCATTTTGAAGAAAATCATCCACCTCCAAGAGTGGCTGTCCACGCATGAAGATTCATTTTCATAAATAGCGCCTAACATTAATTTAGGAGCAATTACTTTAATGGTTGATTTTGCTATTTCTCCAAGTCAAGGCGTTTTTGTCTCAATATACTTTGAGTAGTGAGAACCGATTTTTATTATCTCCAGTGTCAAGTCCTGTATAGTGGCGAACTAGGGCAATAAAACTTCAATTTCAAACTTCAACTTCAATTTCAATAAAACTTAGCAAATAGACGTAATTCCACGTACTTTAGAGGTCGGTTTTTTTAGTACTCTGTACTGAGATTATTATTTAATCTTTTTTCACCGACTAACTTCGTAAACGCTGCTGTAAAGGTTTAACCCGAAAGTTCTAAATAGCTCAGAAAGCGCCCTTCGATTCGAGAACGATATCTAATCGAACGATTCGGTTCAAATATCGAAGAGTTCGGAATCGGGGTCCAGGTAAGAGCGGCGAGTAACCGATGGATGTAAGTCCGATCGGCTAGTCTGGAAATCTTTGGGGGATGTTCAGCAGTGGACGTCTTCCGGCTGAAATGATGATGATTTGGTATCCATATTTTTTTATATTAGTCATAAGAAAATGAGACCAAGTCAAACAAAGACAAAGTAAATTTTAGACAACATCACACATGAAATGATTTATAATACTAACCGAGTCTCTCCACCTTTCGTCGTATTTTACGCGGTTAAGTAACGTCTGAGGTAAGGGCAGAAATAAAAGCAATACGCAATATGGGTAATTAGGCATACAGCACGCACGACACACACGTAAGCAGCGACAAGCATAGGATGATATGCAGTTTCGGTAGAAGCTATTTAGCGACTAGGGAAAGTGCAGTGATGCACTCGCGCCGCTCGTTCGACCGCCGGGACCGGTTCCGCGGTGTGACGCAGTTGAGACTATATATATAAAAAGTCGGCGCCTGCATGTGTCCGTTTGTGCGTACATTTTTTATTTAATATGAAATGGTACAAATCTATAAAAACAATGAAATAGGTATTGAAATGGAATATTTGTGAACCCGTTTACATAATTTCAGTAGCTCGCTACACACACGTTGCTCTGATCAAACTAAAGCGCTTGTGTTATGGAAATCAGAAACAATGACGGTACCACAAACACCCAGAACCGAGACGATATAGAAAAGTTTTGTACATTGACCACGGATGTCGTCCAATATCACTTTCTTTCTGTCTTAAAAATGATAAACCGTTCCGCGCGATAACATTCATCGGAACAAATAATATTTCTTCATAGTTGAAGATATAGTACAATAACGTACAATTGTATAATCTGAATTTTAATGAGAAACTGTTAATGTTATTCACGCCATGCTTAATACGTAGGTACGTCACTTATTTTTCATTTTCATTTAAAATCATTTATAAAATGTAACATAAAAACAAACGATTTCGCACATTATTTCGATTGTAAATAAGTAATATCTATAGAACACGGTAATGTGGACAAGATAAATCTGAATTAAAGTGTCATTCTTATATTGACGTCACAGTATATAAGGAAATTCTAATTTACATCGAGTTCTTAGGTTTTTCGATTGTTACTCATAGGAGATTTTCCGGATTTATTTATTTATTTATTAAACTTTATTGACCACAATACAAAGGGTACAAAAGGCGGACTTAATGCTAAAAGCATTCTCTACCAGTCAACCTCTGAGAAAAACGAAATTCACGAACGCGGTAAATAAACAGAATATTACGGTTATATTAAAATAAATGAAACAAATTTAAATCGTATATATTTGTTCTTTCAAACAAACCAACGTTTCAGGCCCTTCACATGTCCCATTGTCACGGTCGGTTTGTTTGAAAAAATAAATATACAAAATATACGCGATTTAAATACGGAAAAATAGTTTCATTTCCTATACTCCAATTTATGTTAAGAACGTTTGTAACTTTGTAATGCAAAAAATTTTTATATAGTAATAATTATGTTAAAAATATATTTATTGTTTACTAAAGCATAATTATGTATTTTTATTTCTTTGTTTTTTTTTATTTATGTAAGTGCAATAGCAAAAGCATGCTTTACATTTTTACAATTGTGAGATCTTGTACTCGTAATCTATTACGGCTAAATGTACGAAAATGTAATTAATATGTGTGGTTTATTTACAGTATAGGTCCAATCATTCTCTGTCAAGAAAAAAATCCATCAGCAGGTACTTGCGACTTTACGAGTAAAAAGGTGTCAAAATGTTAGATTTGTTATTTATTTTTTAACACAATATACTACTTTCTACTTAACTTTCGCGTTATTGTTATGACACTCTCTAAATTACACTAAAATTAATTTTTCTTTAGTCGAAGCTCATGTATTTTGTAAAAGAAAGGACATAAAAGAGTTAGCAATTTTGCCGCACCTTTACATAAAAAGCCGCAAGTACGTGCAGACGGTTATTTTTTTCTACATAGAAAATGATTGGAACTATACTGTAAGTAAACCACACATATTAATTACATTTTCGTACATTTCGAGAAGTAAAATGTATATTTCTCCATACAAAAAAAATAAATTACTTTTTCTCTCTGAAACTATCAACTTTTCAAGAAATCATACAAGAATAAAAGTTGTTAGGAATGTTATTATCTATCACATAAAAAAAAATTTGCTCGATACTCCACAAGTTATTCCTATGTCCAAGAATTATCAATTTCGGCCCATTTTGTGGCGTTCCGATATGACCCTTTGGAATCAATACAATATCTGTGGTATTTATTGCGATATCATACTTCTTGGAATTACAAATAAAATTTTAAAAATATTATTTCACACGTTCGGTGTTGTCACCCTAAAATCACCGTAGCCATTGTTTTTTCTCGCTTCTTACACCCAGTAATTTGTAATATTTGAAATATGAATAATTTTAAGTTAAACTATCAATATGTCTAAAGGGCATTAGAATAGACAAAATAGTTTTATAGTTATTACTTAGAGGATGGAAACGTGGCGAGTTGTGGTTGTTTTTTTTACAATGTATTTGTATACGACTTCAGGTGCAAATATGCATATCCATTTTGAGTTAAAATATAGCGCCATCTAGTTGGTGTGTTTGTTATCACTAGAAGCAGATTTGATAAAATTCAACATGTCAATGTAAAATAATGTTACAAAATAGCTATTTGGTACTCGTCGCGACATCTAGTGTACCAATAGGTACTAAATACCCGGCTACGCTATCTTGTATGACGATAAGCAGTCCTCTTGAGTTATTGGTCCATGCTTTAAGCTTACATTGAAATAAGATTGTTTTTGGAAATGTTATGGTAGTTTATTTGCCTATTTGCTTATAGTAGTACTTTCCCCCAACTCAAACACGAAGGTCTACCTCTTCCAATGCCTCATATAAATTTGTATCGTCAATCTAACCACATTCATTATTTCTACATGACAATACCTTTGAAACATCCCCTCTCTATTCTGATCAGTACACCAGCACACACACTACACAGCACCTTCTTTTAGAGCGGTTGCACATGGCAGCGATACAAAAATTGCTAATCGTCAACCTTACACACGCGCGTGATTTTAAACAGCGATGCAAACGTGCGATTGCATCGCAAAGATCTGAGATGCACCCTCCACCCTGAGACATAAGTGGACAAATCCCATGTGCCTGTAATTTCATCCCTTTCCCTTCAAAACTGGAACGCAACAATGCTCACATTACTGGTTGGCAACAGAAATGGACAAGGTGGCAGTACTGCCCTGGACGAACTCGTTCACAAGGAGCTCTACTGCTACAAAATATTATATAATGTTATGTAATATGTTATTGCACATCACTTAAATCTGTTTTTTATTTTTAATTACTTAATACATTATCAAAGTCCAATTATTAATAAACATATTATAATTATCTTATCTATACAACGTGTATAAAAGAAATAAAAACTCGCTTAACACATTAGTGTAACATCGAGATTATATACGACTACTTCTTTTTGTTTATAAGATCATTGTGTACGACAATATATAGGCAATTTTTGTTGATACTTGACAACAATGTTTTTGTTAATACTTTTATCAATTATCGTAGTTCTGTTGACGCTGTACTATTTGAATGGAAGATCAAATGAAGAGTATTGGAAGAAACGTGGAGTGGCTTTCTACAAGGGAAACAAAGTTGCTGGACCATTCTGGGCATTCGTAACTCAAAACAGATCCCTCTTCGAAATCTTCCACGACATCTACAAGCAGTACAAAAACGAACCAGCTGTAGGTATTGGAACCTTCTTAACTCCAACTCTTTATGTGATTGATCCTACCAATATACAACATATCTTACAAGCTGACTTTAACTCATTCCACCATAGAGGGGTCGAATTCTTGTATGAAAAGGATTTATTAGCAGATAATGTGCTCTTTATGAACGGAAATAGATGGAAACTTATGCGACAGAGCATAACACCTTTATTTACATCCACTAAATTGAAGAACATGTTCTACATTCTGGATAAAAGTGCACAAGATTTTGTGCAACTATTGAAAGATAAACCAAAGATACTTACGGAAGGTAACACTTTTGATACATTGAGTACTTTTTGCAGTGCTGCTATTGGAGCTACCGTTTTTGGTATTACCACCGAATCCGTATTCGAATCTCCGTTCCTTACCATGGCTCGAAATGCTCTCGCGCCGACGATGAAAACAAATTTACAATTCGCTATAGCCTTCGCATTTCCATCAGCTGTAAGGAGACTTCAACTGTATTTTTTCAAAGAACATGAGGATTTATTCATTGGTGCAATCAAGCAAGTTCTACGTCAAAGAGAAAAAGAGAACGTGAAGAAACATGACTTTGCCGATATTTGTTTGAGTCTCCAGAAGAATGGAACCATGATAGATCGAGAAACTGGTTTTGAATTGGAACCGACGGATGAACTGTTAGCTGCTCAGGGATTTTTCTTCTTTACAGCTGGAGTAGAACCAACAGCTACAGCTATGTTTTGCGTTCTTGTAGAACTAGGACTGAACCCAGATGTTTTGCAACGTGTACATAAAGAAATTGACGAGACGTTTGAAAAGTACGACAGTTTTACTTACGACATTATTATGGAGATGGATTATGTTGGAAAAGTATTTAGTGAAGGTCTGAGGAAATATCCACCAATTGGGTTTTCGTCTAGAAGATGCGTTCGTGATACTGTATTACCCGTTGGAAATATTAAGGTTTCAAAGGATACACAGATCATTACTCCTATTTTTGAAATGCATAGGGATCCAAAGTTTTATGAGAACCCTGATAAATTTGACCCGGAGAGATTTGCTGAGGACAATAAGAATGGTGAAATCACTTACCAGCCATTTGGTAAAGGTAATAGATTGTGTATAGGAATGAGGTACGCCAGATTGCAAGCTTTGACAGGTCTTGTGCATTTACTACGAAACTTCACGGTAAAAAGTAAAGTTGGAAAAGGTGGAATTAAATTTAGTAAACAACAAGTGCAAGTTCGTCCTGTGAATGTTGATGTAGAATTAATTCTGCGAAAGTGAAAAGTAACTATAGGAGCTATTGTACGATTCAATATAACCCAGGGAGTGAATACGGTATTATCCGTTACTGACAGCGAAATTTGTGATCATTACTTAGATCAGATGATTTTAACTATACGGCTATTATATATTCATAGACGTTAATTTCAAATAAAAACGTACAAAAGCAGTTTAAGTTCGTTTATCTCAAACTATATATACTTTTTTACTGAAACAAATATAATAATTATAATGTGTATAACATGAACAACGGAACCAGGGTTACCGATATAGCTACTAAGAATTGCAAAACTTAAGTGGCAATGGGGCGAATAGCGACCGAATACTGGAAGAAGTGGCGTGAGCAGACCACCCACAAGGTGGACTGATGATCTGGTAAACGCTATGGAAATCCGCTGGATGCAAGCGGCGCAAGACAGGTCGTTGTGGTATTCTTTGGGGAACAGTGGACGTTTTTTTGACTGAATTGATGATGATGGTGATATAACATCATCATCCTCAACCTATTTCCTTCCCACTGCTAAACAAGGGTGTTCCTTAAAGACAAGGTTTAAATAGGTACTGTGACGGTGTGACCTCCTTACACCGTCATCTCAGCTTTTTGTATCGTCTCTCTCCGCTTGTATCCTATAATTTTTTTATTTTACATGTATTTAAATTTTAAATTTGAATTGTTCCATCTTCCTTTACTTTCTCATTTTGTTTTCTTACCACAGTCACTCCCAGCTCGACCGACACAACAGTCGGAGCTGTTTCAAATTCCATTTACTAAAATCTTATTTTTGATTCTTTACCAAGTTATAATATAAACCATATAATACAACAGTCGGAGAAAAAGAATTATCAAAAATTTGCTACAATAGTTTTTCGACCAAAAATGAAGCCATAAACTCGGATGGAATGGTACCGCCATTGAAACCCTGGCTATTACACGAATATAAAGATTTGTATAGACGCTTTTTGGCGCTTTCTGGCGCTATTCAGTACTAGTTCACCACGTTGACACAATGAATCTTCGAAAAATTAATTACAACTAGAAATACAATATATATATATTACTATCTGAATACTTAGAAGCTCCTATCGGTGCCGTCCTGTTACCAGATTACTACTATCGACTCTTCTGTAATCGAATTGATAACTATTTCTATAAATACGCATTCTGTGTTTAAAATTAAATAATGTATTTACGATAAATTGTTTTGCTTTGTCATCTTTACTAGTTGTGGTTGTATATATTTTGCGTTAGTCTGCAATAGTGTCTTACTGCGGAGAAAAGGCCTGTCCCTTGGACTCGGCCAATCTTTTTTTTATATAATATCAAGTGACGGGACACCTGATGGTAATTAAACGCTTGTCCATAACAGTTGCAGTGCCACTCAGAGCTTTAAATCGCAAAGATCTGAGGGGCACTGCCACTGCGCCCGTCACTCTGAGACATAAGTTGACAAGTCCCATGTACCTGTAATTTCACCAGCACCCTTAACCCTTCAAAACCGGAACACAGTAATGCTGCCCCGCACCGTCGACGGCCATCTTTGTGATACCCACGCACAAACTAAAATTCCCTGTCAAATTTTAGTTTGTGCGTTTTAATTTCTGCTGTACGCACACAGAGAGGTGGGTGTGTATTATTGTACTATTTTGCGTGGTACTATGTACGTAATACCGCCGGATTTTAACATAAAGTTGTACAATTAAAGATAACGAACCGAGGTTTAAATAAGCATCAATTTCAAAGATCAGAAACCATTTGATTGCACGAGAAAATTCAAACTGTACAGGTTCGAATGGTAGTTTAAAAATTCAACACGGGACCCTAGTTTTCATTATAATTCCGTAAAGCGAGCCATTTATTGGATTTGCAAGCGCTTTCACTCGAAAGCGAATTCCCGTGTAATTTGTTCCATTGAATTTTTGTGTGCGGAATAAACTACAAGGATTCTAAAGAGCGTTGACAGTCTCTATTGATCATAATACATAATTAACATAATTATGATTTTATTATTATATACAGGGTGTAACAAACCTACTTTATGTAATAGACGGCCTTAAGCCAGATTGTTCACTTTTAGTTCTATAAGAATCCGCTAGATGGCATTGACCCATTTGGCGTTATTTCTGAATCGTGGTGTTAACATTTAGAATTTTAAATTTAGAAAATACAGAGAGCTCAGTAATGCAACCAGGAGTTGAGTCCCTTCTTGGGAACTGCTACCCGGATCTTCTGATATTTGTAAAACCTCATCTCGCGGAACGGTTTCCAGGAGCCTAGACCCTTCTGGGAGCAACTGCCCGGACCTTCCGCATATAGGGTGAAATTGTATTGGCGACATACAAAGTGAGAATAAAAATCTTCTGAACAAACAACAATTTGGAGTTTCACTTGGCTTGTTTTGGTAACCTCATCCAACGAAAGAAAGAACCTCCCTCCTTTACAAGGGTAATTTTTAAAATATTCACAACATCGCAGGACTATATTTCTAACATCACAAACAACAACTTTTGTTCCATGACTTGACATAATAAATTTACCAAAAATAAACTCTCAAGTTTTTGTTGTACAATCTGACATATTTTAGATTTGTATTTGATAGAATAAGTTCAAACTTGCAAGCTCCCACCTCCGTCCTGCACAGACTTATTACCGTTTAGAGCGATCTATTTAAATCCATTTATTTTTGTATGGAAGTCAAATCCGATGAATTATGAAAATATTAAAAGTCATGGAACGAAAGTAATATGATGTTAGTAATAGAGTCCTTTAGGCTGCCGCACATCTCTGGTGGAAAAGCAGCCCTTGACTCAACTCACACTGGCGCAGAGTCAAAGCGTCGCGTAGCGTCATTTTCAACTACAAAAAGTCGAAGGCGAAGGCGCGTGTCGTCGCGTGACGACGCACGTCAACGTCGTTAATAATGGCAAAATAGAGATGAATATGCTATAGGCGAAAAACATGACGCGTCGCGACGCTTCGACTCTGCACCAGTATAAGTTGAGCCTTAAGGTTGTTAGTATTTTTTCAGCACACTTGCTCGTAAATAGTATGATTGCGTGGTAGTTAACTTGACCATAATGCCCTATATAAAACCCTCTCGCCTTTTTTCTTCTCATTATAGCCATGGTCAGTAAGGAGTTTTTTTTATTTGTGTGCGACATAATGGTTACTTAAGTTCAAAATTAAAACAATCGCTTAAAATGTTATCTAAAAAGAAATTTAATTGCAATTCAGCCACATACTACTTAAATACTTATTACTAAGAATTTTTTTTCAATTATTTTTTGTATAAAAATTTAGCAATTGTTTTTATCCATCGTGGCTGTAAGCGTCTTTGCGTTGTTCAACATTTTAGATCGAGTTTTAATAAATGAAAGTATAGCTATTTGGCCATCTGTTCGTAAAAAGAAAAAAAAAACAAAAAACCCGCCATTTGCAAAACTCATAATTGTTGTGTTGTAAACATTGACTTACAATTATAGTCAATGGTTGTAAACCATATTTATTCATGCAAGAAATATTCATTGTATTTATTTCCTCGCAAATATGATGAAAAACATTGTACGTATCATACACGGCAAAAAAAAATACAAATCTCGATTTTTTTTAAGCCATCAGCCTTCGGCTTCGGGCTTCTAATAAAGGGTCTGTTTTGTGATTTCTTATTTACCGTCCTTTTAATACACAACGTACTATAAAAATAACTCCGAATACTGTGGTAGAACAAAAACAATGCACTGCACTAAAACTGGTTTATTACTCGCTACCAAGAGAGAGCGAGATTAAACAGAAAAAGTTGAAGATTAAGCAAGAGAGAAAGATACATTTTAGAAGTAATCGGCTCTGTAAGTCATTTCATAATCAACATTTACTTTAATAGAATTCCTCTCCTTTCTACCAAAGGATTCACGAAACTCTTTGATGTGAAGTTTACAGAATTCACTTCGTATTGAATTTGTAACGTTAGGGACTCTCGGCCTAGAGGTGGTATTTTGCTACTTTAATATTGTGCTATCAAAACAGTGATTTGAAAGTGTAATTTTGTTATGACGAGATGAAGGTAAGACTGAGTCGCTGGTTTGTTGATGACCGAATTTAATTTATTCTGCAATATACTGAGTTATTTGTCATAGTGGCACTTCACATGGCTGTTTGTAAAATGTCAGGAACGAAAATTTTTGTTTATGATGTTAGTAATACTGTCCTGCGGGGTTATTTGTATATTATAATATAAATAACCCCGTACAAACTTTTATTGAATTGATATTCAATTATTTTTTCTGTGAAATTACTCCACTAGTTTGTTATAATTATTAGAACAAAGATCGAACACTCAGAGTTCGTTCCGTGGCTTAGTTGTAATAGGGTCTGACACGGTATGCTAGAAGACGTCGGTTCGAATCCGGCCGGATCGAAGCATTTTTTCTGAATGTTCGATCTTTGTATAACAACTAGTGGAGTGATTTCACATAAAAAAATTATTGAATATCAAATCAATAAAAATTCAAATATAATGAATAGCGACATCTCTAGCCAGGGCTGGTAGTTGTAAAGGTATCTAGTTGGGAGACGAAATACTTAAGATTTCTCATAGATGGCGCTACGGCAAAAAAGTTGTTGAAACAAAAACAAATACAAAGACACGATACAAACACAGAAAAATTCGTGAGGTCCGCTGGATCGTTCCGTGGCTTAGTTGGTATAGCGTCTGACACAGTATGATAGAAGACGTCGGTTTGAATCCGACCAGACCGAAGGAGTTTTTCGAAGTGTTTGAGTTTTTTGTAAGATCAAACGATCTTTGTATTAATAATTATAAAACTGTATAAACTTGAAAACAAATGGCAGAAAAGTTATTACAAAAATAATAATATTATGTGCTCAGTATTTTCCAAAGGCATTCTAAGAAACTGATGAGCTGAAACATTTTGCGAAAGGGTTTATGGCCGCAGGTTATTTCCGCCTTGCTGACTGAGAGAGAATTCAGTGAAAACCGCAAGAGCCTTTGTCCCAAAATAACACGTAATTATATTATCATACAGTACATTGTTCACTGTAGCAGTGTAGGTATAAAAATTAAAATGGCAACGCAAAAGTTCAACAAACTCCCTGTCGGGTCTTTGCCGTTAAAATGTTACAAATTCAAGTGTAATATTGTGACAAACGATTCCAATAAACAAAATCATATATTTTTGCTTGAAAATGTTTTTTTATGGTATAAAGTAACGGGACAAACAAGTTGTGGGTCTAGTGACAGCGACACGCCTGTAAATAGAATAGAATAGGGCAGGGCAGTTTTTTTTTGCTTTTTGCTTGTTTTATTTTGCAGGGCACGGCAGAATAGAATAGAATAGACATTTATTGCAGCGTCACAACACATAGATACGAAAAAAAATAGTGATACCACTTAGACAAGCAAAACAAAATAAAAGACCTAATAAACAAAATTAAAATATAAAAAAAAAACCAAATATAACGACTACAAATGTTGTACTGTCATGTGTGTAAAATAAACTGCTTAAATATCTGTGTAGTGTTCTTTGAACATTATGTTACTGCGCCCATCATGTAAGTTCAAAAGTCAAATGTGCTTGTAATTTCACCAGTACTCTCTTACCCTGCAAAACCGGAACGCAGTAATGCTCATACTACTGGTTGGTAAGGTGGCAGTACTTCC